CGTGAATGGTTGATCATCTGTCTGCCCTGCGATTGGCTGGCAACCAGTTCAGGGTGTACCCCGCCTACTGCCCAATGACAGCTGTGATAGGCCCCAGTACGCCCTTGACCCTCGTGAGGGTAAGTGATTAGAAAATGGATGGATCAATAAATACCTCTCGGAGAGTGTCAAAGCAAGTGTTATCCACGAGGTGGGTGCATACCATTTGAGTATCATTGGAACCGTTTCCCCCTCTGACCATTTTCCCCTTTGAGCTTAAGGACTGTTAATCAGACGTGCTAACATCTCTCCGTTCTGCCTCCAGACGCCTTCACTTTGCATATTGGTTCAGCATTGGTGCAATTGTGCACTAGTTATCTTTGTGAAGACATAATTCGATTGTACAGGCACACCTACTGGCAAGTCAAGCAGCCGTGCTTCCCATCCCGGTATCAGTCGCAGAAAAGCTTGAGAAAAGACACGGCGGTACCGAATAGACACAGTTAAGCTAATGATAACAGCAGTGAAAACAAATACTTCTTCAGGGCACTGTGATGGGAGAAGACTTGAGGCGGGGGGTGGTGGGTGGGGGCGGGGGGGCACTACTCTGGAATGTCAAGAATGTAGCGAAGGCAAACAGAAGAGCCAGCACTCCTGTCTCCAATGAAATCTACGCTTCCAGCATTTCCGTTGCAAATCAGACGACGGTTCCTCTCATGCTACTGGCCTACTTGTCTGTTGAAGCATCCTTTTGATGTACACACTTGAACATCATTTGCCAAGTATCACACGCACAAAAAGAAACACAATCACAAGAGTGAAGAAAAAAAATTGGCACGATTAGCCTTAGTTAATCATCGACGCGCTCACTGAACTGAGGTCTCGCAATGAGCTCGTACGTGGAGTGACTTTAAATCAGTTGAGCGATGGCTGTAGTATTAGTGTGTGTTATCTTGCTATGATGTGCTTTTGCTTTATTATATGCAAATGTTTTTTTTTTTCCAAATGGTTTGTCACGGATACTTATTTTTTGTGGTCCAGAAGTACATATGGTGTTATGGTTAAATTAACCAATGAGGGCTTACAGTATATCACTCGCCCCGTTCATTTGCAATCTGGTTAACATCTGCTGCTCTGTGTCAGATTCTCCAAAAGTCTCCATAAAACCACAAAAAGTCTCTAGATTTGTTGAAAGTTGTTTTTTTGTGGGGGTGGGGATTGCCGGAGGGGTTGGAAAAGTCGCTAAATACAGTTCCAAAGTCACTAAAGCAACACTGAGTTGTCGCTTGCTGAACCATGGTCATCATAGTAATGCAGGTTAAATGAAGTTTTATTACAACACCTGGGAACTATGTGAAATTATATCGTAGTAGAAACTAAAAAACTGCGAGGCCAACAAGCTAACCACAAGGATGCAATGCTGCCTATGACACAATATGTCACCTTTAATAAAGTTGAGCAATAAAATGTCAGAGTCATAATCTTGCAAGCTATCACACTAAAACCGCTATCTTACATTTTATAAGTTGCTTAATACGGAATCAGTCCCATTGCTAGCATCCCATACACGCACTGGAAGCAGTGCAGTCAAGTGAAATGAATACACTGTTGGGAATAAATTACAGGAATACACTTTCATGGAACAAATATGAGAATATTTAACTTGATAGATTCATGTTCGGCAAAGAAGACCTTGCTGACTGTACTCTATTGTAATACATAATGTATATCCGGTTATTTCCTTTACAAGCTAGGTTGAAGTGATCCCATCAGTCACAGAAATCAACTTTTTTTACACATCCCCAGACGCGACCCTTAGGCCCCGCCTCCTGTGAGCTCACCATCCAATCACGGCTCTCCTCCGATGGCCTCCAATGTGACTCTCTCCTCCACTCACTCTGCTTTCATTTATCCCTCCAAGTGTCCGGACCAAAAACCCCAAAACGGCTACATTCCCGAGGACTACTTACCTTTTTTTTCCCTCCCGTCTCGACGCTTTTCAGCCTCTATTGAATCCTCCCCACCAAAAGAAACATTCCTACTTCCTGATTTTATCACTCATCGTTTTTGTTGAACGTCCCTGGTGTCGAGACTTTGGTTGGACCTCTTTTTTTTTTAATGCTCATTCAAAAATTCAAGTCAAGTGTTTTCCCTTGTTAAGTAGTCCTTAAAAAAACAAGACCCACACAAACAGGCGGTTTTTGGCCACCTTTTTTGGCATCCTTTCCTCTTCCGTCCACGTGTAGTGTAAAGTTAAGTGTTAAAATTGGTCAACAATGGCAGGTTTGAACTCTCTGGATGCTGTCAAGCGGAAGATCCAGTGTTTGCAGCAGCAGGCGGACGACGCCGAGGACCGGGCTCAGGTCCTGCAGAGGGAGCTGGACAGCGAACGAGAGCTTCGGGAGAAAGTGAGACAATCAAGTTCTTGTCCTGTTTCCCCGCGTTTATGTCGCAGTAAGGATGGTTATTTTTAGCTCTTGGGTTATAACACGTCGTAGCGTACCGTTCGGCTATCGGTATGGTTCCGTTATTCGGTATAGTAAAGGCCAAGAATATAACCGTGTCATTGATTGGTTGCCGGGTGTGATTGTGGCACATTGCAAGGCGTTGGTCCCTTTCTAGAGGGGGGAAAAAAAAAGTTTAGATTCTTGCGTGTCTTTACGCATGCGCAATGCAGCTTCGTGCTCAGGCCGCTCAAACCTCATTTTCCATCTCTTCTTTTATCATTTAACATTTTTAAAGAAAGCTTAATGCTTACATCATCACTTCAGTGAATTGCATACATGCTAAGTTATAGCAAATAAAACGAAACAAATTTTGCATTTTAAACAAACGTGAGGAGCAAGTTTTTTTTTTTCCAAGAGTCTTCTACAGTAGCTACAGAATTGCCACAGTTATCCATCGAATGGCTGAGTGATCAAAGGATTTCATGAGCCATTCACAGTTTCACTGTAAAAGTCTGTGTGTGCTTAGACTTGCATGACTTAATCTTATGTAGATATGTTACTGGCAGGGTCAACCAGTTAGACTCTTGGGCCCGCGGGACCGGCAAACGTGCCGTGCCGCAATGGCACCTGCCTGGCCTAGCATCCTCTGCCAGGGCTTTGTGACTCGAGCACGGCTGCCTCGGCAAGACCTGAGCTGGGCATTGGGCTCTGTCAAGAAACTGTCTTGCGTGACGGTCCTCTGCCGCAACTCCTTTGCCATCTAAGCAAGGTTATCATCCATTTTGGAGAGTATAATTAGCAGTTGAATAAATGTGTTGTTGATAGTCATGTTGTATCCCCACATGACTGACAGGGCTCCTAATGGGAAGATATACTTGTATGTGAGGCCGGTGTAGTGGTATTGGTGACATAGTATCTCAGCATTTTTACAAGAGTGGGAGTGCAGACCTAGAGTATCAGTACAGTATTTTTTAGGGCCCGATCGATTAATCAACCGACACTAGCACTTTAAAATATGCAAAATTTGGCCCTTTCTTTTGACAGATTGATTTTTTTTTTAATTCTTTTTTTATACACAGTAAGACATAATAACACTAGACAAAAACAATGACATTCAATGGCCAATTTTTGATGCTCTTTCTTCTCTGGTGGAAATCTAAACAAATACTCAAGGACAAAGTATCGTAAAACAGTCCAACATCCTGCCTGTAATTCATATATTTATTGTTATAAGCGTTAAGTAGATTTTTTTTCCATTGTTTTTTTTTTCTTTTTTAAATCGGCCAATTAATTGGTTATTAATGATATGACCAGTGAGAAGGGACCTTGTGGCTATAAAAATATAGGGGATGATTTGATGAAAAGGCCTGCCTGGCCTTACTTGCATTCAAGTAGTGCATTCCAATTTCTCTCATTATTTGACATGACTAATTAATCATCACAATATTAATGAAACATGAAATGCAGTTTGAAATGGTATTTTCAGGACAAAGATATTGTCCTCCTTTATGCTCATATAGTTGAATGGAGCATCCTGTTGTGTAGTGGAGTGCTCCGATCCCATATGTGAAGAATTAGGACAACCTGAAGTTATTATCTGGCACAAAAGCGCTTTCGGTGGTGCACAGGGAGATCAAAAGAGAAGCGTTGCTGAGTGTGTTCATGTCATGACTCATTGTTTCACAACGGGGACACAAGAGACAAAGGCGGCATTTCTGGCTAAAAATGAAATTTACTGGCTCTTTGTTATTTTTACTTTCTGCGGTTTCAGGCTTTTTGGAAGTGTTAATGTCCACTATTGCAGTGATGTCTGAAATTTGACCTGGTTGTGTTTCTCTCACTGTTAAACTGCTTGAAGATCTACTTGAAGTTCTATCTAAGCTGTTGGTTTTGTGACTTGAATCTGCATTTTGTTTACCATAAAGTACGCATGCTTGAGTAACCATGGCTGCCCTGCCCAGGATGTCGCCTGCCAAATCTGGCCTGCACTTCCTGTGTCACTATGGGCCCAGTCTCACAGGAAGACGAAGTATGTGCAATGCACTGTGGGTTTAGTATCCCTCAAAAAATGGCCATTCATTTAAAGCTCATTTCTTGCTCTCTGTCTCCGATGTTCCGTTGAAGAAAAAAAAAATGCAGCAACTGGAAAGATCCAGTTTTATTCCACACATTCATCTTCCCTTTTCAACACTTGGCAGCTATTCTTCCCACAATGCATCTTGACTGCCAGCCGTCAGGCTTGAGATTTGGTAGTGATAAACGCAGTTGTCATATTGAAGCGACTGGTGGCTTCTTCAAGTCGCCGGATGGTTCCGTTTAAGCGGGGTGATGTCATTTAGGGCAGCTTATTACATTTTGCGCAATTTGTCGTATTTCAATCTGTATAGTCATGTTTTTCTTTTCCCCCCCCAGCATTCATAAATGCAACTGATTATTTTTGGCAGTGGCATTTTAACCCTTTCACGCACCAGTAATGACAACCTGATAACCTGATAAGGTGTCCACTGTAGTAACCCCTGTCCCTGAAAGGGTTAATTTGCTCATACTTTGTTCAGACCAGACTGTTTTATTGTCAGGCTGCCATTTGTCTGTTGCCTGTCATGACACGATGCTAATAACATTACATTGAATACAAAGTTGAATACAGTCCACTCTGTGACTGTGGTCGACTTCCAGTCTGTTCAGATTTTGATTTTCCAGATTTTCAATCTGTTTCAATCGGAATGAATCGGTTTCAACTACTGACAAACGGGCAAGCGCTACTAGCTAGCCAATCGGCAACTTGTGGCTAGCACTAACTGCTAATGTAGCACTGCAGGCTACGGGTAAAAGGCTAATACACGACACCGATTACAGTAGATTCGACAGGAAGGGTAACAAAGAAAACAGGAAGTAGAACAGTAGCCAAAATAAAACCACCGACTTAAACAGAAACAACAATTCTGTTCTGTCAATGAAGAAAAGCCGACGATATTGTGATGCAGAGTTAATCCAGTGAAAATTCTACCTGGGTGTCAAGTTTAGAAACTTCAGGTTTCCACTGTACTACACATTTTGAAGATTTTGGAGTGTATAGAACTACATAGCGCTGAATACAATGGCTCCATAGCACTCTTGCTCACTTTTATAACAATTCCAGTTATTCTTGTGACCATCAATCATTTACGCCCAAGAATATGCAGAAGTGGGTTGAAGAATGCCGGTCTTTTCCATCGTAAGCATAACTTTCCTGACTGCTTGGCGTGTATAAATTGAAGTTGTCATCACGTCTGCTATGGCGGGCTTCTGCTCCTCTCACACTCGACATTCTGTGGAAAGAATGACTTCCTGGTTGCTGTGTTTTCTTTGGAATTTCTCCCAGGGACTAGCTCAACTTTCCAAATATAACGCATATCGTTTGCGTATCGTCAGCGGCAGGCCTTCTGGAGAACACTCCCACGTCGGTGGCTTTGTGGCAGCGAGATAATTATGTGATTATGCCGACCAAGACTGCGTGATTTAGTCGAAATGATCTGTGCAGTCTGTGCCAGCAAAAGCCGGAATTACTCTGAAGCTTGAAGATGTTTTTAGCTGACCGGATTGGTTGAGTGACCAAGACGAATGATACAGATGTATACGAAAAAATAATAACCAAACAACAAATGGCAATGTTGCTACTGCACAAATGAGTCTTCAACTAGTATCAAGAGTGGAATTTTTGAACAGTGACATCATATTTAATATTAACGTATCATGCGAAAGCAACCCTACTACATTTAATTGCATTAAAATGTGTTCATGCTTCATCGCAAACCTCACACTGACACAATTTAAACTTGTTTTTTGTTTGTTTTTTTTAATTCGGATGCCAATTTGCCCTTGGTGCAAATTTTCCAGAGTACCTCCAGAACTCAATGGGGCTACAAAACCCATTGCTAACTGCTCGCAATGTTCCACAGTCTAACTTGTCTACATCGTTTACAGAACCTGTATCCAAATCACCCCTCACGACGGGCAGTAGTATTTAGTAAGTGCCCAAAAGAGGCATGTAAAAGGTTTTATGACTGGCTTGTTTACTTGACCAGGGAACCGTTAAAAAGCCTGACCTCTATTTATGGATAGCCCACACAATATAAAGCTGTTTTCCTGTTTTTGGTCTGAAATCAACTGTAAAATCATCTCATAGATCAATTGTAGGAAACACCACTCCTACAAGTTACGAGTAAATTTAGGGGGGGCCCATAATGTGACCATTGCGTACAAGGAGCTTTCATTGATTTTGAGATTAAAAAACAAACAAACAAAACAAAATAATTCTTCTGGGATCAAACTTTTATCAACCTAAATCTATATTAACTGAAAACGTGATGTTTCAGTCGTTTCACCCCTTCCACACAAGTGATAAAATAATACTACTCTTATCAGCAAATGTGAAAGCAATAAAACGCAAAATTTTGATGACAAAGTTGCTACCGCCAACTGGAGCTTGATGATTGGCACACCTCACGTCACCTCCCTTTTTAACATTGTAAAGTCGCTAGTCTAAAAGTCTTTTAATGTGAATACGAGTCACAAATGAACATGAGTCTCGCATGAACACCCCACCCTGAACAAAGTTGTCTGTGAAATGCTGACATCGAGCACAAAACCGGATGGTATGAAAGCAACTCCCCGGTGCATTTGGTTTTCCAGGTTCGACTGCACTCACCCTTATTCGCGTATTGGGTAGGGAGCAGTTGTGTCAGGAATAACTTCCACTGAACCATAGCGACGTTGTGTCGCTCATTAGCCCACTTCCCTGGAATCGGCTCGAAATTAGATTCATGTCTGGCTCGTCCTTGATTTGTTCTTCGTAAAAGTCCCTTCAAAACTGTGTATCTGGACACTGTATCTTTTAAGGTCAATCCTGCAGGCTCTGGACCGTATCCAAATGACAGATTTGTGTATGGACAGCAGTGATTTCAAGACGCTTTAGTACATTCCTGCTTGGTCATTGGAAGTTATACACGAAGACGAGTAAGTGTCTCGTTGTTTGTTCACCACAGTTCCAGTTTCACGATGATTTAGTCTTTAAGGAGGGGTACTTCCCGATACTGGAAAGTACATAGTGGGTGCTATGGAAAAAATAAAAAATAAATAAGACCTGCTTGTAAAGGAAAGGAACGACTGTTGGGGAGCTGACTCATTTCATTATTGAATGCAGTTTTATACAATAGAAGAAATGACCAGAACTTTATTCGTCTTGCAATGAGTAGAGAACAGCAGCGCACGAGTAAGAGTAATAACCCTGTTAACAGTCCTACTTTGGCTTATAAGTGCCCCAAGTTACACATTTTTTGAGTTACGAGACGACGTTTGGTCAATTTATTTTTGCTTTGTGAGTTACGAGCGAGTTATAGAATGCTAGACTGATTTAGACGCAGATTTGAATGTGAACAAAAGCAGCCCAAAAATAAATAAATCAGCAGCGTTGTATGTGGCGAACAATATACGGGTTCACATTTCTGTGCATACCGCGCATGCAGTTTGGACTGAAATTAGCAATATTAACTCGACATGAATAAATATAGAAACGGTTGTCAGTTTCAGAGAAACCTGATCACTTTGCACCAATTTGAAACTTTGATCTGGTGGAGTCGATCACTTTGGCTTTGTGTTAGCGAAAGCTCAAGCACTAGCATGTTGCGTGACAACTGACACCGTTCTGGACTGTAGCGACCTTGCAATTATGTCTGTGTTTGAGAGGAGGTGGCGCTTGTTTGAATGAGTGTTTGTAGTGTGTATGTCTGGAAGTGCGCTCGTGCGTCTAGTCGAGTTGACCTAAAGCTCATGAAAAGCCTGTTTGTTTGTACTCCGACGGCGTTCGTCGTTGCGCACAATTCCGGAGGCAGGAGGTCATTTCTGTTATTTCAGGTTTCCACCCAAGTTCTGTTCTCTGGAGCCAGATGTGCTGTCGACAGACATCAGCCCGCTCAAAGTAGATTTGACAGTGTTGAGCCGATTCTGTGCTTTTCATTCACCCCATGGTGGGTTCGGTTTTCGTCTCTTATCAGCTGTGAACTGTTTTAACAAATGTCAGCTTTGATTCGCCAGACATTTCCTGCCTGATGTCAGTAGCCGCCGCCGGCAGCAGCGAAGCGGAGTTGGACCCTGGGAAATAGACAGAGAGAGAAATTGTGAGGTGGAAAGACTTTCCAGCCGACTAAAACAGCACAGGGACCAGATGGATACATTTGCGTTGCTTTCAAGAGGAAACCATGCCTTCATTTCCTGAAATATCCAACTGACCCAGTGACGGGTTGACACTACACTTACAGCACTCCTAAATTCCCGCGGTGCATATTAGCTCCCAAAGTGGCCCAGACTTCGGCTTTCATTTTCAAGAGTTTCTACCAAAGTAGCATCTAGTGGTTTTCGTCATATCCTTCCTTAAGTTACTGGACATAACAATTAGGATGCTTTTTCCTGGAGACCGCGTTTCTATTCCAGCTGCTTCTGTGTGTGCAGAATAGAGGTCAGCATTTTTGGCGGGGTTGAGTCAACGATGATTAGCAATATCCGAAATCCCAACGTTGGGTGAAAATCAAACACTTTTTTTTTCCCCAGCTTATTTCGAGACAGCATTTCTTTCCTCAAAAGTTGAAGGGTTCATCCATCCATTTTCTAATTCGCTTTATCCTCACAAGGGTTGCTGGATCCCATCCCAGCCGTCTTCGGGCTGTTGGCGGCGGACACCCTGACCTGGTTGCCAGCTAATCGCAGGGCACAAATAGATGAACAACCATTCGCGCTCACATTCACACCTAGGGACAATTCAGAGTGTTCCATTAAGCTGCCACGCATGTTTTTGGAATGTGGGAGGAAACCGGAGTACCCGAAAGATACCCGCACCGGCACCGGGAGAACATGCAAACTCCACACAGGAAGGCCGGAGCCGGAATCAAACCCTGCACTTCTACACTGTGAAGCCGCCGATGTGCAAACCAGTGACCCACCATGCCGCACTTGAAGGGTTCAACCATTTTCTAACCATTGAACCTTTTCATTGTCAATGGCCTGGCACGTTTGGTCTGAATTGATCTTATACCAGCTGCTCGAAGGTCTGCTGTGTGAAGATTGGTGAAACAACTTCACTGCTCAATTCATGCAGTGACACTCTTGATCGTCGTTTCATCCACTTTCCCAGTCATGTACAGAGTATCCGTGTTTTACGATGATACCAATTTATGCGGTTATGAATCGAATAACTCATACTAGTACTTGCTGTTATTGTGTTTTATATTTAGGTCCTATAAGTTTTTCATACAAATATTGACTATAATATTTACTTTCCTCCTGCACTAGAGTAGGTAAGTGACAGACTATGGCGTATTGTGATATATTTACGAATTCAGATTACATACATTCAGAACTACGTCATAAACCCCAGTACATGAAGAAATCCAGACATCTGGTGGTTACACCGCGGGGGTCCACCACAATATGTTTTGAGGGCTTCTTTCAATTTTCTTTTTTTCTTCCCTGCTTTCAATTTTGCTCCATCTCTAAAGCAATGACTTGGCCACCGCTGATCCAAGCGAAAAGCACCCTGGCTCGCTCTAGATCTGACTTCTGGACAGCATGATGAGCTTAATGAGTCACTGACCTACTAACTTCTGTCCTGCAACCGAACACAGAATCGTGTTTGTCTAAGAAACTGCCAGCTGCTCTCTTTCCAGAGTCTAAAGTTCATTTTTTAGTGCTTGAGCTTTCGCGAAGCGCTCATTTCTATGTGGGTGTCAAATTGAGCAGAATGTTTTGGAGTTGTCCCATAGTGGAGGTCTTTTTCTAATCGCAGGGGATAGGGGCCCAGCCCTGCCATATAAATGCCACATGATGGTGGCAAAAGTGAGATTATTCACCGCATACAGAGGTTCATCAATAGTATTGATTATCTTGCATACCAGCCGAAATAACACATAAGGACAAACTGACGTGACAATTCACAATTTCACACATGGGCAAACAAATATGCACATTAGCACTGTACACAAATGCTTGAAGTAATTGAACTCAGCTTTTGGCTTTTACACACAATGATAAATGTTCTGGAATAAAGGCAAATTACCAAAGATGATGGACTAGTCGTAGAAATAGAGAAACATACTTTTGCGTTGAGCACTAGACAAGTTACAGTGGTACCTCTTTTGATGCTTTAGAAAACATTTATGTCTGAATTTTGGGGGGAATTGGAACAGATTAGGGCATTTACATGGAAAACGCATCTCTACTTACAACATTTTCTAGTTAAGACATTTCTTCCAGAACCAATTAATTTCGTAAGTAGAGGTACCACTGTATACTGTATTCAAGAAGTGCCAACAACACAAAACATGTTTTAACGCAAAAAAAATACAACAAAAAACTCACTATCAGTTGTATAAACCTACACCACCAAGCACAAAAACTGCGAATATATAATTTCAGCAAATAACAGAGGATATATGGACGCATACTAAGGCAATGAATTTGTACGCTTTCAAATGATCTCTCTGTCTAAGATAAGAAAAGTGAAGATGCAGGTCCTTTTTTTTTCTGTTTGCTGGTCTTTATCAAGCAGTGGAGTTTTCTCAACCTTTCCTGTTTGTGCCATTTCCACCTCTTCCTGTTTAATTGAGGAGGGGAGGGGGTGCACCCATCTTGGATGAGTTAAAGTTGAATGAACGAATGAATGACTAAATGTATCTCCCCCATTTCCTGTGCTCTTTCAGGCGGAGGGTGATGTCGCGGCTCTGAACCGTCGCATCCAGCTGGTGGAGGAGGAGTTGGACCGGGCCCAGGAGAGGCTGGCCACAGCGCTCCAGAAACTGGAGGAGGCTGAGAAGGCTGCAGATGAGAGCGAGAGGTTAGCTGGTTACTCTCTAATGACACATGCCGTTTGGATGCGGCGGCATTGATGTTCCCTTCGCGTTTCCTATTACCCCATGTGCAAGTACATTGATACTGTGATGCGATACTTCCTCTTGCAATGCAAATATTACCATTGCTAGTAATGCAATCGTATAGGTAGTGCATTTGCATAAAATCACAAGCATGCAGTATCTGCGCCCGATGAACGATTGACAGTTGTGCATGTTTGCTTCTATTATATGTTGAAATGTATATAACTATTTCAGATTTAATTCTTTATTAACCCTTTCAGGTTGCAGGGTGCATGAAAGGGCAAACTGGACATTTGATTTAAATAAACTCGAACTACTAAATGGATCGATGTATGTATATATACTGTACATAGAAATAGTAAAGATACAATTATGGATGCTAAAACCATAACTAGAAGGCTAAACCTCAAAGCGGGTCAATGAGCTAACCAGTTACTGCGAGCAGCTAAGTCATTATGAATTTGGTTTACAATGTGAACATTAAAATAATTTTCACATCAGAAGTGAATTGTTTTGAAATATTTAACTCGTCTTATCTTTCGTAGTCTTATCTGGTTGTCTGGGATGGACAGAATAACACAGATTTCACTTCAGTTTGCTTGCGCGCGTTAGCCTAACGACAAAAAGAGGCTCGCGATTAACTGTCTTCGCCAAAATGGAACTACAAGATACTCAAACGTAGTTTGCTCTTTTTGTTTATTTTTATGCCTTTTGCTTAGCATAAAGGCTGTGGGATTAATTCAATCTTGTAAGTACGTATTACTACACCCCATAAAGTCTTTGGGAAGCAAACACCGTCATTTCAGTTTCATCTAATATCTCATGAAGAATCTGTTGAAAACGTTTTTCAACCGCCTTCATGTTTTACCAACTGTTCCCTGTGCCCCTTTAGAGGAATGAAGGTGATCGAAACCCGAGCGATGAAGGACGAGGAGAAGATGGAGATTCAGGAGATGCAGCTGAAGGAGGCAAAGCACATCGCCGAGGAGGCCGACCGCAAATATGAAGAGGTCAGAATATTGTCTCTTGAGTATTCAAAGAACGAGATTTGAAGAGGCTTAAGATCCCTGTTATTGTTTCTCCAGGTGGCTCGCAAGCTGGTGATCCTGGAATTAGATCTGGAGCGAGCCGAGGAGAGGGCCGAGCTCTCAGAATGGTAAAAAAAAAATGAATAAATGAAAATGATGAGGTGCGGTTAAGGACAATATTTCAGTTTCTTTGTATACTACCCCGATAGAGCTGAAATGTAACAATCAAGATGTGATTGAAGTGAAGACTATGTTCTGTGCAATTTAGGAAGTACACTCATTTTATGGAGAGCAACTCTCAGGACTAAAAAGTATTTGAGCAAAGTAACGAAATTGTTAGTTTTTTTAAAATATTTATCTTTCGACGAAAATAATTTGTAGTCAGTGGCACTAAGTCGATGTGAATGTTTCCACAGTAAAGCCAGCGACCTGGAGGAGGAGCTGAAAAATGTGACCAACAACCTGAAGTCCTTAGAAGCCCAATCGGAGAAGGTGAGGAAGTCAGATGAGAGTTCAAATGTGTTCCTTTTTTGGTTTCTATGTCTGTGAGACAAAATTATATCATCACCAACAGTCACAGTGGAAAGATGACTAACTGCCGTGTTGGGTAATAATCTCGTGTGTGTGTGTGTGTGTGTGCGTGTGCGTGTGCGTGTGCGTGCGTGCGTGCGTGCGTGCGTGTGTGTGTGTGTTGTGTTTGTCAATAGTACTCAGAAAAGGAGGACAAGTACGAGGAGGAGATCAAAATTCTCACTGACAAACTGAAGGAGGTGCGTTTGTTGTTCTATTCATTCCTATTAAAAATTTATATATTTTCACGGGTGAAATAAGTGACAGATTTTATGATTTAATTTTTTTTTTTAAATCACTCTTGAACCCTTTCATGCACCCTGTAACCTGATAACATGATAAGCTGTCCACTGTAGTAGCCGCTGTCCCCGAAAGGGTTAATTTAGCGTCTTCAAGCACTTTTAGCATCTGTTTTCCAACTTTTCCATCATCTGACAGTAAATTTTATTAGTCTCCACATGTGTCGTGATAATAGATCTTGATCCACGGTCCAGTCCAGAAATGCTATCTCTGTCTTCCATTTTGAAGACGTTGCCGTTTGATAGCACGGTACATATGCAGTGTCATAAATTATTTGAGGACATCCTGTTGTTTGCATTCTGCTCTTCCGTGACCTTTGCCTTCCAATTTCATTTCTCGGGCGAACAACCCTAACATGACACTCTTCAAATCAAAAACCTGGGGACCAGAAGCGTCTCATTCACTGTGTTTTGTAATCGCCCCTTATTGTCTGTGTTTCCTTCAGGCTGAAACTCGTGCAGAGTTTGCAGAGAGGACAGTGGCCAAACTGGAAAAGTCTATTGATGACCTGGAAGGTACGAGTTTAGCTTTGTCGCACTGTGTACAAAAATGTCGACAACACAAAGGAAAATAACATTTGCACCTTGTTGCATTGAGTACAGAGCGAGTTTAAAGTTATTAACTATCGTGTGACTTACTGGAGATCTCCGAGATGGTGTCCCGTTTCACGATCACTATCCGAAAACTGAAAATAACACGGCCTCCATCAAAATATTGCCAATGGGGAAAATGGCCGTCACGAGGAGGGAAGAAACAGAACGTGTTGAAATGTTGACTGTTAATAGTCATGATGCCAATAATAACTCTTTCAAGACATTATTAGTGAGCACCGGCCTCCGACAAAATATTGCCAATGGGGAAAATGGCCATCACGAGGAGGGAAGAAACAGAACGTGTTGAAATGTTGACTGTTAATAGTCATTGTGCCAATAATAACTCTTTCAAGACATTAGTGAGCGTAGATTACGGTACGCGCTTCCAGCCATGTTGCTAGGCAGAATTCATGGTCCACCACCAATTTTGTCCCATGATCCAATGAAAAGAAAAATGCAGGTCACACCTACTTTGAGGTTTTTGCCGTCCCACCTATCAGAGAGCTGTCGCCGTCAGTCATTTTTCCTCAGTTGAGTGGGTGTGGAGCGACCACCGAGTGGGTGATCGGGAATGATAAATATTGAATCTCATATCTTGACTTATATTAGATTACCGGTAGTTTTATTGTGTGCTTATTGTGTCAAGATGATAAATATTGAATCTCATATCTTGACTTATATTGGATTAGTTTTATTGTGTGCTTATCGTGTCAATCTTTTCCAAATGTCCATCGAGTATTTTTGCTGAGAAAATGGCAAGCATTCAGTCATTCCATCCTTCATGTTTTTCTTGCTGACCTCTTTTTTTTTTCCCCTCCCTCTGTCTTCTCCTTCCTCCTCCTGCCTGCCTGCCTGCCTGCATCTCGCTCTGCTTTTTTCCGGCTCTGCTCTCCTCGACACCCGCCTGTACTTGCCGCCCATCCAGATGAGCTCTACGCTCAGAAGCTGAAGTACAAAGCCATTAGTGAGGAGCTGGACCATGCCCTCAATGACATGACGTCTCTGTAGAAGCGCTTGGCTCTTTCTCGTGCCCAAATTCCTCTTTTCAACGTGCCTTCTGTCCATCTTCCCAACTCCTAATTAAAAGCTTCATTTTCCTACGTAGCCGCTCGTGTCTTCTCCATCATTCATGCTTGCGTGTTCGTGTACAACGCCACCCAGCGGCATCATTTACGCTGTTTCGCATTCTTGTGCAAGTGCCTCTGTGCCTCAGGTGAGACTTTGTGTGACTGCAGTTCCTTTTCTCCTTTGACCTGATTTTGTTGTTTTGATCAACACTGTACCGGTCACAACATTACACCTGCACAGGCTCACAACGTTTAATTCAAGAGATTCCTTAAAATAAATCAAGAAATAAAAATAAGATGCAGTTGTGATAAAGCCTAGTTTGTATCCACCCTGTCAAAGATCAATTCTTTGAACAGTATAATTAATAATTCATGTGGTTGTGGTTTTATTAGGTACTCGGGAGGCATATAAACCATGACGAACTTTTTTTTTCGGAAAGCATTAGTGTGCAAGTAATTAAACTTGAGTCGGTGAGTCCGGAGTACACAATTGTGGTTTTGGCGGTGGCTCCGATTTGAGGTTTTACGAATGAAGCTTCAAATTTTCATGTGTCACCTTGCGCGAAGACAAGAGATAACTTTTTTTTTTTGTTCGTTGAGAAATCCTTACTTTTTAGAACGTATAACATCTTTCAAAACGTTATTTCCAGTCACAAACATGGAAACTAAAGCGGAAAGGTTAGTGAAACTAATTTGACCCACTTTTTAAAAAATAATTTTACCTCATTTAGTGACACGTTAAGAGTCTACGTAACCAGTATCAGAACCGACTCGTCAGTATGATGCAGTGCTGCTCTATAGCACTCTACAACCACAATAATGCACATAATGTTGAATTTGATACCTCAAAGTGAGCGTTGTTGCTTGTTTCAATACCCCCCCCCCACCCCTACCCCAAAAAAAAGCTTCACTTTTGTGATCTGGAGTGTAATTACAACAATCACATTTCACAGCAGACAGCAAATGTTCTCTTGCGGTCTAAGTTTTGTACAGAACAACAAAAACATGTGGAACAAAAGGACTGCTAAAAGAACTACTGACTCAACTTGGTTCTTAAATTATCTGTTTAAGTGAAAAAAAAAAAAACTTCGCTCTTTAATTAATGTATTCATGCTGATACTGCAAAAAAAACAAACATTTGTTCTCTCTCTCTCTCTCTTTGTACCCCAAACACGGTAGCTTTACTCAGCCTTTTATACCATCAAAAAAGTTCTTACAGTAGGTTTGCTCACATTGTGAACCGAGTAACAAAAAAAAAACATGCAAAATTAGCCAACCAATGAGAACAACTGAAAAAAATGCTTCTGAACCATCCAGTATTTTTTAATTCTATTTATTGATTGATTTGGATTTGGCAGACGTTTTTAATGTCAGGGTCTAATGATTTCAAATCAGTTTACAATGTGTTGAAAAGTCTCATAACTTCGACCTGTTCAAAGCCATTGCAAAGGGGTTGGATAATGATTTATTCCACATAAAGACTAAATTGCGTGACTCTGTTGAGTAACTGAATGCCCTATAATGATTATTTGAGGAACCATGGTGTGTAAAGGCCGCATGTTTCATACAGCTCTTTCTATTTGATCCCGTTTACTGGTTCGGGGAAACCAAATGTTGTGGCTTGGTTGGTCAAATGATTATTTGTGCATATTTTGCCATCCCCCCAGTAAAGGCATCTGCTGTTGGTTGCATGATAAGCACATCATTGTGGTTGGGACTGTCTGCATGTTGCACCACTTACCCCAAAATGGTGTCTTGGGGGCAAGACTTTGTCGCGACAAAAGCCACATTGCGGAATTAATAATCACACTTGTATGCTTAGTTGCATTTCACAATAGCGGAGGGTTCACCGTGTCTATTTTTCTTTGTCTTTGCAGAAAAATTGTCACATGCCAAAGAGGAAAATCTGGACATGCATCAAGTCCTGGACCAGACCTTGCAGGAACTAAACAGCTTATAAACGCGTGCGCGCGCACACACACACACACACACACACACACACACACACACACACACACACACACACACACACACACACGGATGAGATGTAACATTCCATAAATGTTCAACTCCATTCCACAGCATTCCTTGAGTAAGAGGGGATTAACTTGATGTCGCTTGATGTTCTTTTCATCATCATTATTATTATATACAGGTATATTTTTTTTATATAAGATGCAGTTTTGGAAGTTAAACACACAGTTCTTCTGAAACTGCACAAATTGCCTCCCAGCAATTAATTTTGACCACTTTAAATAGAAACTTTTCAGTTTTGCATTGCCCCCACCCCACTTCCCCTCCATCCAGCCACACCTCCCAGTTGAGGAAGAAGCACAAATGGAAGTTTACTTGTTTTTTTTTCTGCTCTCAATGGCATCATGAATATGCAGCGACACCCAGTGGTGAAATGCAGCTAGTGAACACAAGCGGCAACCTTGTGTCAGTCCAGTCCAACACAGCACCCAATTGTGTTTCAGAATGGGCATTTTTTTTCCATTAAGGTCTGGTACAATACAGTTAATTTAAACGTATTACGTATATTGCCTATGAGTTAATTTTCCATCATTTAAAAAATTTGACTTGTTTAAAATTGCAATAATGTAGCCAATATTTAGATTTTATATGCAAGTGTAACCCCTAAACCACTGGAAGCATTGTCAAATAAGATCAGCCACGGATCCTTACTGTATATATAATGTTAGGTGCAGTACAGCCTCTTTTTTTGTGTGTTATTTTTATCACTTCTTAATGCCGGGGGAAACTTTCAAAACCAAAGAAAACTCACACCATGCACAATAAATTGTCAACACCATATTTTTTTTTAAATGTCATCTCATGCCAGCGCCATTTAAAATAGCCTCCAATTGTGATTACATACATATTTGAAGTACTTCATAAATCCGATCCATGTCACCTAATAAATGTTATACAAAATGTTGACTGATTTGACTGTTGGGGGGGTGCATTCCAATGATGTGTGATGGTTTTACAACAAAAACATTTCATTTGAGGTATTTTGCCATGAGTATATGAGTGTTTGTCGACATTTTTAGGAAACTGACTGTAAATCATCAGTGACGGTGTAAATGGACGTACAGCGCACTGCAGATGACAAGTCTAGTGTTGATTTTTTTTTTTCAAGCACATGTATTAAATCACGCCATGATTTAATAAGCAGGTATCGTGGGCTGAAGTTGTCAGACCAGTGCATCTGTCGCCGTTGACACACTCGAGTTCATCCGTGATCCTGCCAGTCAGGGTGTGTGCTGCCACATTTCCTCTCAATGATATTTCCTCCTGAAGGCGCATCCTGGATGGCCAAGAGACATTGTCTAAAACACAGATGTCAAACTCAAGGCCCGGGGGCCAGATGTGGCCCGCCACATCATTTTAAGTGGCCCGCGAAAGCAAATCAAAGATGACAACTTCCATGATGCTTGCTAAAATCTCTATCAAAATTTAAAATGTTCATATGCGATATATTAGTGACATATTGTCAGCATTTTCTTGTTACCAAACCTCTCATAACAGTGACTTAAACAATAGTTGAATAAAACGTTATTCTTGGCTTCTTTATATAGTTTCAGTCATAACAGCCCTGCAAAGGAAACATGAACTACAATGTGGCCCGCGACAGGAAGTAGAAACTAACCAGACATTTAACAAATCTCACCCGTAGTTAGTTTGCATTTCCCTCCACGGGGCCTGCAGAGGATTGTTGAGCAGCCAGCACAGGGCACCACTGTCTGAGCATGGCTGTAGATGGTAGTGATCTTGTAGCAGCCTGGTATTTAAAGGAGACATATGAAAAATGGACTTTTTATTGTTCATATACAAAGAGCGTGGTTTCTAGAGTACCTGCCCACCCGTCAAATGTGAAATCAAAGAATGACATTTTTAGTTCTCAACCTGTCTGAAGTGATCCAGCCTTACCCATGCATTTGACGTCCATGAAGTAGCTATTCGGCGACTGCACCAGACGCTTCTTCTTGTGCCTCCTCTTCTCCTCAGCAAAGGAGGGGTACATCAGGTCCTGAACTCTTTGTTTCTGAAACACACATTGAATACACGAATGTAAATTATTCATCTTCTCTTCTTACGCTCTTCTGTGACCTCCCCTCACGTGTCGCAAAAAAAGTAACTTTTTTGGTGGTGGTAATCTGTAACCTATTCTTGAAGGGAACGTTTTGACAAGCCATGGGTCACACTAGGCTTCCCTAAAATCTTGTGAGTTACATTTCAGTGAGCTTTTGAATGAGTAATTCTACTTGCCTTTTTCTATACTTTTTGAGAAAGCAATACAGTACCTATAAAATGCCTCGAAGTGACAGTATGATTCCTCAAACAGCTTCCTATTGCCACTCAATTAGGTGTCTGTCGAGCATCTTCAAATGCTGGTCTTATTTAATTGTATTTTACGTAATCTTATATCGAGCATCTTCAAATGCTGGTCTTATTTAATTGTACTTTACGTAATCTTATACAGTAACGCTTGGATGTAGGTTACTTAATTAAATGTTACTTTTTGGGATAAGATCATCTCCCTTTGCTATCATGTCAGTTGGTCAATCGGAATCAAACCAGGAATGTGCCTTGGAACACCTTATTTTATAATCAACACGCAAAACAGAAGACTTATGCGATGATTTATCACTTATTCAGTAGACATAAGACTTGTTTCTTATCAAGCACACAAAATGAAGTTCGACTTGTATTGAAGGCAGTACACGGGCAAGCCCGGACAAGTCCAAGTATCATTGTCGACCACTTAACTGATACAGTATTTTCAAATATTTAATATAAATCAATTTTTAAAATTCTTTCTCGATCATATTTTGTATTCATTTTTTATTTCTGGAGAAAAATGCGATTTTTTTTTCTCCTCCATATTTATTTTTGCTCGTCAGTAAATAATAAAATATAATAAAGCAAGAAGAAGAATATCTTACTTACAGCCATTTTGCTCAAATGACACGATTTCTTCTCTTCTTCCAAGAAAAAGAGAAATTTACATTTAAAAAATGGCAATTTTCAACTGTGCCTCCTTGGACAGAGTTTGCTGTTGGTTCAATTAAGAATTCTGTTTTGTGTACCGGAGCTGGTGGAGCAGGCGGAGTTTGCTCTTGCCATCGAGGAGACGCAGCCGGTCTAACTGGTCCATGAACATCATATTTGCCACAGTGCTTGCGTTGTTTATTACACGAGACATAAAATATCAAGTTAAAAACTGCAGTGATTTCAATCTAATGAAATCTGATAAAAATGTGCTGGGTAATTAGTAGATGAGGTTAAAAAGATAAATAAAAATGGAGAAAATTGCAAATTTCTCCTTTGTGAGACAAATAAAGGTTTTCCTATCTTATCTTAAAATAAAGTAAAAGTGATTATGGTCAATAACACATGACAAATATTTTGCATCTCTCTCTCTCTCTCTCTCTCTCTCTCTTTTTCTCGCTCTCTCTCTCTCTCTCTCTCTCTCTCTCTCTCTCTCTGTCTCTCTTTCTTAGGCTCCATCATGCCCCACGATCCTTGTGAGGATAGGTGAATCAGAAAATGGATGGATGGATGGATGGATGGATACTTCACACCATTGTTCAAGTAAAAAGCCTAGTTTGACAAATTAAGTATTAGAAAATGCAGACATTCCTTTCAAAAGTAGGGAGTAAGAGTAAAAAAATAAATCCTCCAAAAAATAAATACTCAAGTCAAGTACAGTTACTTGAAAAATGAGCTGAAGTGCGGAATTGAAGTAGTTGACCAAGGAGAAGACCGTACAGCATACCTGTTATATAAGTAAAACATAAAGGAAAAGTAAAAACTAGCTAGCAGCCCGTTGGTCCAGTGGTTAGCACGTCAACCTCACAGTACAGAGCTCGTGGGTTCGATCCCGGCTCCGGCCTTCCTCCATGTAGTTTGCATGTTCTCTCAGGCCTGCGTGGGTTTTCTCCGGGTACTCCGGTTTCCTCCCACATTCCAAAGACATGCATGGCAGGCTGATCAAACACTCCAGATTGCCCCTAGGTGTGAGTGTGAGCGCGGATGGTTGTTCATCTCTGTGTACCCTGCGATTGGCTGGCAACCAGTTCAGGGTGTCCCCGCCTACTGCCCGAAGACGGCTGGGATAGGCTCCACCACCCCCCTGCGAACCTTGTGAGCATAAAGCGGCTCAGAAAATGGATGTATGCTAAAAGAAAAAAACTCAAACTAATAACAGATACCTGAAAAATCGAGTGAAAGACAGCAACACTGTTTTTGTACTTTGTTACTTCCCATTACCAGGAAACAAATTAGGAACATATTTTGTCAAAAATAGTATATAGTTTAAAATGTTAGGAGTAAAGGAAGAAATTTGTCATAAAAATAAATAGTCTCGTAAATACAAGTAGCACAGTAAGTAAGTATTATAGTATAAATAAAAAGTAAGTATGTATCCGGTTACTTCCCAGCACTGGGGATAACCTAATCGTATTTTGAAAAAAAGTAAAGAATAAAAAGTACATGTATCTGTACGATAACTAAGTATAAATAAAATTGTGTTGTATTTTACTGTATTGTATTGTACTGATCATCGTTACTTCCTGCCACCGACTTTGGGGGTAGGCTTTGACATAAAAACCAACACACCCAACCCGGATTTCCGGAGCCACGACGGCACCGATAACAGACAGTAGGTCAGGCCAATAGGCAGCCTGCTGACCTTCGGTGACGTCACAAGAGGCGGGATATCCGCAGCGGTAAAGCTCTAGCTAATAACATGGCGAAGACTTACGACTACTTGTTCAAACTACTTTTAATCGGCGACTCCGGGGTGGGGAAAACGTGTGTGCTGTTCCGATTTTCAGAGGACGCCTTCAACTCGACGTTCATCTCCACCATAGGTGAGTACGTGTCAAACTGTTAGTGTGGCCGACAGAGTGGTCCGAGGAGCTGCCCATCCCTCGATGCTAATTTGTTGCTAAGTTTTTAAAGGCAGGAAGCAGCTCGCTTGAAGGGAATTATTCTGTCCCTCAATGTGAACTCGAACCCAAAAAGCCCCCGGAACGTCAAAGTCACGCATTGTTCTCTCCCGCAAACGTGACATTAAAGTGTTCTCCAAGAAACCATTTCCTGCCGACTGGCTAAAGCTAACGGTTAGCTGTATCATTTTTCTCACGACCAGCTGAGTGCTAAACCATACAGAGCGGAAGTTCTGCGCAAATGATCCATCAAATGCACAACATATGCCCATATCCGACCACTTTATGATCCAACTGTACTTTTTTTAGGTATTGACTTCAAGATCAGAACAATAGAATTAGACGGGAAGAAGATCAAGCTACAGATATGGTAAGATATGTCACACACTGTCTATCACATGCTGAGACTGCAAGCTCAGCCATTCAGCATCCGGAGTGTCATTTCATTTTTTCACTCTTTGGTTTGGTCTTAGATGCATCAATGAAAACGCTTTAACTTGATTGCGTTGCTTGTGTACCTACTTATCCACCGCATGTACAGGTGCATCTAAATAAATCCTTAAACTAGAAAAGTAAGTCACTTCTTAAAGTGAAATTTGTAATCATACGGTGGCAAATACTTTTACAAAGGACACTTTCTGTCTGTGTTTATTCAATGGTAATTCTGAGTAACTTCTCATTGCAAGGCTTCAAACAGGATGTTCTGAGAGGGGAAGGAGCCACTCAATTTACGATGTCAGAGTGTCTGCCCTTTGCAACACAGATACATAGTAGATTGGAAGAGCAAATGACACGGGCCGTGTCAAATGGTTGTTTCATCTTTGCTGCAAGCCGCTATAAATGAATTGCCATTGTTTGGATACCCCTGAAAAGAATCGAAATCGACAATCGTTTGTGACCGGAATCAAAACACGAAACTGGAATCGTTCACATTCATATACGTTGCCCAACCCCGCTGCTGTGAATTATGCATTATAACTTTTTTTTAAGTGAACAGAAAGTTTTGTAAAATGCACTGAAAAAATTGAACAGTTGGACGTGTGCATTAGGCCTGATTGATTTGGATTTTTTTAAAATTTCGATATTTGGTAGGGGAAAAATATTATAACCGATTAATTTAATTCATATTAAAAAATCAATAATTTACTTTTTTTTGGTGGGGGGGTTCCATTAATGCTTATAACGACAAAGATATATATATTACAGGCAGAACAATTGCCTGTTTTGTGAATACTTAGTCTTTTCGTATTTACGTTTGCAACAAAGGAATTTTCACATACCGAGAAAACCATGTTAAAAAAAAAGAAAGCAAATGAACTTGTATGAAGGATATAAGCATTACAGGTATTTATGTCTGGTGCCCTTTTAAAGGTACAGTGTTTGGAATTTAAGTGCCATTAAGTGGTGAACTGAACTATGGAATGCAATGACCTAAGCTCGAAGCGCGTGCATTTTGAAGAACGCGCACTACAGTGCCTCAGAGACACCAGACACCAATTTCTTCAGCAGAGGCACAAGCGAAATGTCATCCCAAACGACTTTTAGTGTTCTCTCAAGTGACGCACTAAGTGCATGTCTTTTGTTGCTCGTGCTGAAGTCGTGTTGAGGAACTCCGCTCACTAAATTTGTCTAATTCGGGTACTTGTAACAGAAAGATCGCGACGAAAAATGGCAGCCGCCTGTCTGGGGAGGCGTGCCCTTCATCCATTTTCGCGTCACAAGAGTCGCGGGGGCATGCTGGAGCCTATCCCAGCTGTCTTCGGGCAGTAGGCGGGGGACACCCTGAACTGGTTGCCCACCAATCACAGGGCACGCAGAGACGAACAACCATTCGCGGTCATACTCACACCGAGGGGCAATCAGCCTGCCATGCATGTTTTTGGAATGTGGGAGGAAACTGCAGTACCCGGAGAAAACCCACACAGGCCCGGGGAGAATATGCCAACTCCACACAGGAAGGCCATAGCTGAATCGAACTCTGCACTGTGAGGCTGACACGCTAACCAGTCGACCACTGGGCTGCCCTATATTGAAATTAATTGTTTTTTTTTTTTTAAACAGTGAACAGTAAAAAAAAAAAAAAAAATCGAATTTTTACACACTGTCCCTTTAACATGAACGACAGTTCTTTCCCTCCATTATTTTCTTCATGAAGTGATTACTTCAAAATTAAAAAAAACAAAAACAGATGCCTTTGTCAGTTTTCAAACCATACCATCTTTGAGATGAGTTTCATTTTCAAGATATGACGATGGTGGTTGTATGCTGATCGCGGGCTGCTTTCTGAAGCTAAAGGTGTTATTACTCATTGTTCCCATGCAGGGATACAGCGGGCCAGGAGAGATTCAGGACCATCACAACAGCCTACTACAGAGGAGCCATGGACAGTTGCTCGTCATACTACCGCCACTATATATATATTTTTTTTTAGTGTGTTTTTTTTTTTTTTTCTTCTTCACGCCGAACTAATATGATGAAAGTTGACATTGGCTAGATGCTCATGGCATCATTGATATTGTCCCATTACAGTACTACTGTACTTACAAAATAAAACACACAGGAGGAGAGAACGCTTTGCAATAATATAAATTCACCAACTATGGACAGACAAAGCCAGAAATTAGACAGACGATATCTGTTAGAAAAGAAGAGCATCATAGATGGGGCCCTGAGTGAAGCCCACTGTGATATTTCCAGCAAGAGACGAAATCCTTTCACTCAACCAGGTAACGTTTGCACAACGTGGCCAAATATGGAAAACAAGGACAGGTTTCCTAGTGAGCTTTTGGGGTGTTGGCAAATAATCACGCGCCTTTTTGTGCATCGCAGTAATGCCACGCTCTGCTTCCCCTTTGATAGCATGGGCAGGAAAATTGTTGAAAATCCTGACGGCAAGTCGGCTTCAAACGTCACGTTTTTAAAAAAGTTTTTTAACTATTTTACAAGTGTAACAAGAAGTTCATTCCTGAACAGTAAAAGCTTAAAAAAATGTGCACTGAACACTAAAGGGCGTGCAAGATGTTGGCCAAGGAGGCGAGTCTCTTCACATCACCTTTGTTGTGGACATTCCACTTTTGTTGATCCGCTATTGCTTTGACATATAAAGTTCCTTGTCCTGTTCTCTGCCCTTTTGTGGTGGCAACACCACAAAACACACAAG